CAGTATATGGAGTATTTTTAAGAAAAAAATAAAAAATAAAAAGATGAATAATTAAAATTAATTGATAATGTTAAGGTTAGAATTTAAAAAAATTGTCAATTATAAAAATTTATTTTTAAAAATAATAATAATTAATTTGAAACAAAATTTTAATTAAAAATCATTATTATGCTTTTTTTATACCTTGGTTTTTTTTTTTATCATATGAGAAATACAATAACTTTTTTTTTAATTTCTTAACTAATTTTATGCATATATTATATGATTTAAATAAAATTTTTTATTAAAAAATTATTATTAAATTATTTAAATTAATATTAAAAATAACTATTATTTTAATTTTTAAATAAGAAAACCAATGCATTCATTTTGACGTTGACTTAATTAAAGATCGGATATTTAATTGAAAGCAACATAAAAAAATTTTTTTAGTGCAAGGAGGAAAATATAAATAATTAGTGGTTTACAATAGTCGTGGGAGCGGCAGTCGTAATAGCGACTCAGCATACAAAATAAGACTAAGTGCAGTCGATGATAAAAAACAAAAAAGAAAAATGAAAAAAGAAGATATTCTAACGAAAAGTTTGAAAACATTACTCCGTAACTACAATTAGTTAGAAAATTTATTAATACTCTGTCCCACGGACGAGTTTGAAAACGTTTTTCCATATGTGCTTTCTATTTTCGTTAAATTTCTGTTTATTTTTAATAAATTTAATTTAATTTTTTAGTTTTTAATATAAATTTTAAATAAAATTTTGATAATTTATATATATAATAATTAACAAAAATTTTTATATAAAATTTTTATTAAATATTTTAATTTAATAAAAATTTTAAGTATTATTTATATAATATATTAATTTTTTATTTAAAAAATTAAAAAATTAAAATAAATCTATTGAAAATAAGTAGAGAGAGTATATAATAAAGAAGATGCAAAAATCAAGACTTACTGTTATATTAGTTAAAATGCTAGTAGAATATTCAATTATATCCATAAAATAGATAGCAGGTAAGTGTAGATTTTATATAAATCTCACTTATTACGTATTTAAGATTAGATAACAAATGTTAGAATATTTTAATTTTTAATTTTTTATATAAAAGAGGTCTACAAACATAATAATAATATTTTAAAGTCAAATACCAACAAGAGTTTGATATATGCAAAAATCTTAATTTGAGTTTTTAAAATTAGAGTTTAAACATTTGCAATATTAATTAATAGCTAATTTAAGAAATTTGATGTAAAATATATATATTTTCTCTATTCAACTTTAGTTGGTTTTATTTTTTTAAGTTAAACTCTTATTTATATCTTACACAATATTTTTTTCACTGTTAGCACTTTTAAAAGTTTTTATTTTTGTTCAATACTTTTTATACTTTAAAAACTATAAAAAAGACTTAAAAATTAATGGTCAAATTCCCTATTTACACTTTAATTTGTTGGTAATTTAAAGTTTTTTTTATATAAGTTTTGAATTATGAAAGGAGTTAGCCAAAAGTGAAAATTATGAAGGATATTGACGGTGAAAAAAATAATATATATAGTACAAATAAGGAGTTTAGATTCTTTTTTTTAAAATAAAATAATAATTAATTAATAAGATTTATATTTATTTCTACTTAACCACAACTTAAATAATTATAGTTATTATAATGTATAATAATTATTTCCCTAAAATAAGCGAAAAATTAAAATAACAATATTAAATAACATTTTAAATAAAAAAATAAAATTTAAACACCTTAAATTAAGAGTAAAAAATAAGACAACAAAACATTTGAATGAGGTTTTATAAATACATACATACATATATATATAAAGTGTTATACAGTTTAAATTATTTTAAATCATATAATATTTATAATTGAATGTGGGTGACTTTTTTGGTATTAAAAGTTGTTTCTTCAATCTCTCATTCAACAGTTTTCATTTTATAATTTAGTATAATTTTGATATATATGTATATATATTTATATAAACACACATGCACACATTAAAGTATCAAATTACCAGACATGCAGTCCTTATCCGAGCAACTTATTTCTCGTCCCATTTGTTCATTTTTATTCTAAATAATATTGGGCCGACTTGCATGTACTTGATTATTCATCTTACGCTTCCAACACGTAGCGACCAGGGTCAAGTATCACATTAATTTTTAAAGGATAAGCATCGTTCGAATTTGCATACGCAATTCTTATCGACTTCATAATTACTACGGCATCGGAGAAATAGTAAAATGCACAAGCAGGTGCCGACATGTAGGCATGTGCTTGTACAATTTGGCCGCAACTTTTGTTTGGGCCCTCAAATCGTCAAAGTTAAACTTGGTGTTGGAGGGGATGAATGAAACAGTTCCATTTTGTTAGGAGTTTGACTCAAGCTCGTGCTATACTTTCTTCTTGGGAAGATTTCCTGGCAAATTTTGATTTTGCTACGTACTTGAGTCAGACTTTCTCTTTCTAGGAGATTGACCATCTAATTAAAAATTTTTATAGGAAAAGGAAAAGAGGACGTGAGTTTGGATTTCAATTTAATGATTAAAACAATATATTTTAGTAATAATTTAATTAGTTAGTTATTTTAATGATCTTATTTTTTAACAAATTCTCTTAC